ATGCAGCGATAGAGTTGATTCCTTCCCGCTATCATCGCAGCCCCTTTACAGGAGAACAGAAGACCTCACCTCTTCAGCCAGGCTAACAATTCCCTTTAACGACCCCCCTTTCAGAGACATAGACAGGTATGGGGCATTGCAGGCTAACAAAGCAGCCAAACGGCCCCCATTCCAAAGGGGGGGACCCGTTCATCCGTTTCTATTTGCATGTTTTCTAAACTAAAACCAGGCTTTGTTGGGCTGCTGGATAAAACCTGGAACTCAACGCTATTTCTGACATTTGGAATTAAATAAGCTTCCTGGATGGAAGAGAAACGTCTTCAGACTCGGAAACAAAGTTTTAACCTTTTTGGAATGACGGAAAATCTTCACCAGCAAACTGAACAATAGATTAATCCACTCATGGCTCATCCTGGTCCAGGATGGACCCCGCCTCTCCCCCATAGACAGCTGGAGATAGGAACCAGCACCCCTCGCCACTAAGGGTGTGCAAAATAATCCTCATTCTTGAAGGCAAGAATCGATTATTAAAAACAAAAATGAACAAATAAAATCCATGAATGGTTGGCACCCATCAGCCAAACCAAGTGGAATACCACTTCCTGTCCAGCAGATGTCGCTGCGGATGTGTTGACGCCCGCTGCTTTGTGTCACAAGCATGTCCGGCCGCGGGATACTGAGACGAGTCATTCGTAAACAAAACATGGAGGAGACTGAGAAAATTCACCCTGCTTGGATGCATTTTGGCTTAAAAACAAAGAAGGTAAAAATGAAATTGATATGATGCACGTCATTTGCAAAAGGAGAAATATACATTAGAATGTTTTCATTTCATTGGTTTAAAGGACCACTGAGGCCATGTAAACGGCTCTGATTATCCTTATTTTGTTATTTTAAGTTTGATGAATCCTAAGATATTTTTTTCAGTGTGTAATAGTAATATTTCTGTCCAGTATTTGTTTCCATAGCAACACCTCCAAATGTTGTTTCAATAAATACAGCTATGTATGAATTCAGTTATGTATCAATTGAAGACACGATCCAGATCAAACCCAGCCAGTCAGCCACTGGTAAGGGCTGCATCTTTTTCCTACAGTGTTCAGTGAAAATATCGCGATGCATCGCAATATTTCAAGTATCGTGATGCATCGTGATAGAATCGCATCGTGACTTCTTTACCAATACCCACCCCTACTCGCCACCCCACTGGGATAAAGCATGACGGGAAATGGATGGATCTTGTGCCCTTCTTCCTGTTTCTAATAGCACCTTGGGAAACTGACCCAATAGCTGACATCAGTGCTCAGTCCATTCAAAGGTGAATTCCACCTCTTTAGATTTGGACCAACAGCTGAAGTCATGGATGGATCTGATCCTGAAAGATATTGACTAGCAGCAACATCTCAGTGAATTGATGGGAAGCGAAACGTCTTCAAACTTGGAAACAAAGTCCAGTGGATTGTTTTTTAACTTTATTGGTATGTTGGCTTTAGTTAATGTGTTGAGTGAGCATTATTTTATTTTTTTTACAGTACTTTACTGTTTTTACCAACCTTTCATACGGTGGCCCACTGTGGCCATGAAGCTTCAGCGGAAATTCAGTCTGGAAGACCACCTGCCATGTCCCTCATTCAGCTCCACCCAATCAACTCAGGGGCCGCACCTTCTCCAAAGCCAATCATCTTTCAAGATGCCCTTCATCTAGCTCCTAGCTTAGCTTCTCTCTCCGGCATGCAAGCATCTCCTCCCTCATTCTCAGTCCCTCTCACCCTCTGGCTTCTTCCACCACCAGTGTCCGGACCCCAGGGAGAGACTACTCTGTTAATTCACAGCATCAAAGTCTTCTGCCGAGGCCCGAGCGGCAAAGAACTTATTTTAAATATGTCTATGTCTGCTTCTGTCTCCTTGAACCCCAGTGGGCCTCAGCAGATGGCCGCTCACACTGAGCCTGGTTCTGCTGGAGGTTTCTTCCTGTTCAAAGGGAGTTTTCCTCTCCACCATCGCTACAAGCATTGATGCATGTAAACCTGATATCATGAAGGAAGAGACGAAGGAGAAACCTTCACACTTCACTTTTAACTGCTTATAAACACAAAGGAACCATGTTGTCTGCTGTCAGAGAGCACTAGTATAGATCTGTGTCGTGTAGAGCTGGGATCAGCTGGGCTGTCTTAATGCTCACCAACAGTGGAACTTATCTCTCTGACTGCTCGTTATGGTTTAAGGGTTGATAATGTGACAAATGAAGACTAGATCTGATCTTATCAGGAGTGATCATAGCTTCAATTTGCAATGTTGACAAGAAATTAGAGAAAAAGGTTGAAAACAAGACAGTGAGACAAAGTCAGCCTGCTGCCTCATGGACAATAAATACCTTTGGGAAATTCCTGACTTATCTATCAGCCTTGTGTATGTAAAATGAAGATAGGGGCTGAAATTCCATTCCTGCCTGAGAGAATAAGGACGGCGGCGTCGCATTAGAGGGTGATCAAAGTCAAAAGGCACTTCTCTGCACGCATGATGCCTCCCTGGATGGAGCTATCAGCCAGGCAGCAGAAACATGAGCAAAAACTGACATAAACAGCAGATATGCGGCCTGCAGAGAGAATGCTGAAGCCCAGTTTTTATTGACATAACCACAGACTGACCGGGGGAGCAGAACCGAGCAGGTCCTCAGCGATCACCTCATCCATAAGGCCGCTATCAGGCTCCCAGCGCCGAGAAAACACAACAGATCCAGGCGCTAAAACCTGCGGTGGTGGGATGGAGGCCCGTCTATAGAGGCCGAATAGGGGAAAATAAAAACAAATCTACTCCTGCGGTCTGCAGCCTATAGATGCTTTTATTTTATTTTTGTGCTAAAGAGGGAGACGTGTTTTAGCCTCCAAAATAGAAACATCTGGCAATACTTTTCTTCATTAATATATTATTTTAAAAATGATTGTTTATTTGTTTTTAGGACATGGAGCCAAATCAGGCCTGAAACTTCTGCAAAAAACACAAGATAAAAATAATTAATTAAAGTGGGTAAATTGAATAAAATGAAAGAAAAATCTGTTATTTTTGTGTGAAATGAAACAAACAAAAAGCATAATAAATACTGTCAAATAAAATTTATTCTAATTCAACTAAAATGAAATTAGACTGATTAATACATTTGATATTGCAAAATGAAAGATGACTTTAAATACAAATGAAAACAAAATTTTATTTAACAACAGAAAGAAAATGTTAATTTGAATTGAATACATTACATAAATCAATTAAAGTGAAATGATGACATCAGTTAAGATCAAATGTCATAAAGTTTAAGAAGATAGCAGATTGTTTACTGCTTAACTTTTAACCACAAATATTAAATAATTGAAAGGGAATTTCTAAATCATGTCAATCTGTACTTTATCATTTTAATTTATTTAAGTTTTGGATTTATTTTAGAATAAAATTATGATTCAAAATGACCTTTCTAAGATTTGAATCCTGCTTTCTGTTTCAGCAGCTGACAGATATTAATGCTGGAGCGACATATATTTAACATATCAGGTTATTCACACATTCATTTTTCTTATAATTAACGTTAAAGAAAATATTTACAGAAAACTAATTGTAATAAAATAATATTACTGACTTTTGGGTCGTTGTAGTCCTGAAAGCAGCCGCTAGAGGGAGCTGTTTATCACACACAAAACATTTTTATGGGCCTTTTGGGGAAGAGAGGGGAATTGTTTTTATTTTACATATTAAAATAAAATAAAAAGTTCTTAATGTGATTAAAAGTTTCGTGCAAAAGTTTTTAAAAGAGGTCATGTCTTCCTGTTTGGCCTCTGATCTTTAACTGTTCTGATAGTCTAGTTTTCATATCACTATTGTTAATTTATTTTCCACCCATTTTAAGAGCCTGGCTGCAGGCTGTGCTTGTTTGCTCATGAAAAAATGAAAGAAATTGGAAACATTTGCGCTAAAAAACTGAAAACAGGGAGATACAGCCTTATGTCCAAAAAAACCGGGGGGAAAAGAGATGATGAGGATCCTAAATATGATCATCTCCTGTTGGTCACATTTAGTTTACAGACATTTAAAGTCATAGTTTGGTCTTCTAAACATCAACAAACTCTTAAATTTAAAAGCTGAGTTTATAATTTCCTGATTACATGTTTGGTTTTCTTGCAGAAAATGGGTTTGATGATAAAACAGGATCGTTTGTATGTCTGGCCTTCAGATCCAATCAAGCAGGAGGGTTAATTAATGCATCCATGACGATCAAAGGGGCCGCTCGTTATGACGCGCTTTCTGTAGAAAAAGGCCTCAAAGAGAAATGGGCTGGAGGCTGCTATCCTGCAGATTTCAAATGATTTATCTCTGTTTTATTCTAATAAATTAATATCTTATAATTTTACCTAATTCTGAAGAAAATCTAAAAATGTGCAAAAATGTTTATTATTCATGTTATGATTTTTGTTTCAGTTTTTTATGAATTATCTTAATTTGTTTCCCAAATAAACGGAATTTTAAATGTTGGGATTTGCTGTAAATAAACTAAACTAAAGCGCCGTTTGGGTTTTAAATGTTTTAAAATTCTCTGCTGTAAAATAATTCCTATTATTTCTGCTCTCTGTGTGCAGAGCGGTTATTCTGCGCTTTCAGAGAAAAACCTTCACATTTATTTCCTTATAATAAAAAACCAAACAAACCTGACTTTCCTTTCCGGTGCCCGATCCAACCTTCAATTACAAACGTCACCAATAAAGCAGGAACGGGGAGAAGTTTTATTGCATGTTTGAATGATTTCAGCGAATAATTAAAAACGAAATAATTAGAGGAAGATGAATGAAGTGGGATCCTGTGAAGGTTTGGGAGACTTTAGGGGCCTCAGCTGCAGGGTCCTCCCCCTCCCCTCCACCTTGGCCTACCTCGGAGCGGCTGCTTGCGTCACGTGTTTTCTGGCCGTACAAATGATCCAGTAGGAGCGCGCAGAGGAGCACTCCCATATCACAGATGATCAGCAGCAGCAGCAGCTATCTGCAGAGGAGGAGCCGCGCTGCAGCGATCAGGGGATCCAAAGAAGAGGAAAAGTCAAAGATCTTCCAGCAGCTCCAGCCTTTCTGTGCGCCTGGAGGGAGCAGCTGCGCCCAGCCTGCGGCTCTGCGCTGAGGACCGGAGCTCTTTATCACCGGGCCGTCCTTATCTGGTGAGATAAAACCCCGAGAGGCCCGGAGCGGAGCGCATGAAGCGGAGCGACTTTATCAACTTTCACAGGAGAAAATCTCTGCGGGCTGAGATAAATCTGGGACGCTCTCTGGTTCCGTTTGGGTCGGGATGCGACCAGGCTGCGCGCGCCCTGATTGGCTGCTGTTAATCTCATTTAATCCGTCTCATGTCACTCAGGGTGATGCAGTGAAATATGAGCGAAGGGATGAATGATTTATTGACACTTTTTTATTCTCACGCCCTTCCTCTTTTCTTTTACTCTGTTGGGAACAAAAAATACTTTTAATTCCGTTTTTTAAAGGAGGGGATTTATATCTAATTGTTTCCCGTTTGCTTTGGAAATTACTTCTAAAGTATTTTGGTTGTTTGTTTGTTTTGTTTTTTTACATTTTATCAACAAGAAAACAATTTCTTTTCTTTTAATGGAAAATAAAACAAAAGTACAACATAAAATGGGTTTTGGACACCTGTAACTGTAAAATATTAGTCTACATTAAAATAAATTACATCCCAATTATTTATTTTAATTAATAAATTGTCCATTAATGTTACAAATGCTTAATATTTCCGTAGGAAAGAGCAGCAGCAGAGAAAGTTTGAGTTTTATTTTTTAAACATTCTTTCCTTTAGTGACCAGCTTTAATGAGGCGTTGCTTCCATGCAGTAAATTAAATATCTGAGTTTTAGTTAGAAAATTATTCACAGTCTGCAAAAAGTTTAAATCTAAGTAAGTCATTTTTTTCTTTAAATAAGATAGTATACATTCAAAATAAGAAAAAACTATTGCATTGTCTTATTTTAGGTGCATATTATCTAATTATCTTATTTTAGGGGGAAAAATACTCATTCCATTGGCAAACTATCTTATTTGTGAAAATAAATAAAATTAATTTGAGACATTTTGACTTATTTCTAGATCTTTTTTTCACTGTACGTTTCAAAAATAAGAAGTTTTACATTATTTTATGACATAATTTACAAATCAGATCTTATTTTCCGTTTCTCTTTAACAGAATGATCCTAATGGAAATTAACAAATTAAATGAGAGATATTTAATTTAGCTAGAAATGTGTTTGATCGTTTAATTGGTTGTGAAATGTACTGAATAAAGATGATGAAATATGAATTAAGATTGAGCTACATAAAAGGTGCATAGAATTGTTTTTATTTTTATTTTATCCTGATGGTTTCCTGCAGGTTTTTTAAATCAGATTTTTCCTTTGATGTTTCAGGAGGAGCAGCAGAAGTTTCTCCGGGTCAGACTGACCCAGATCCCCCTGAAGGCCCCCAGAATGTACCAAAGTCTGGCCCTGTCCTCCAACCAGCCCCCCTACCCCCATGACACCGGGAATTACATCCACCCCTCGGCCAGCTCTCCGGTTTACGTCCCCACCAGCAGGGTCCCGGCCATGCTGCCCTCCCTGCCCTACCTGCAGAGCTGCGAGTCCAGCCACCAGAGCCACGGCCTGCCCGGGCCCCACGGCTGGGCCCAGAGCGCCGCGGACGGCTCCTCCTTCGCTCCCAGCAGCCCTCACCCTCCGCACGGCTTCTCCTACCCTCACAGCCCGCCCGTCAGCGCCAACGCCGCGCGGGACGGAGGCTTCCAGGGTCAGTACGGGGGCGCGCTGGTGCGCTCCGTGGGGGGGTCTTACTCCAGCCCGTATGCGTACATGAGCCCGGAGATGGCCACGTCTTCCTGGACCCCAGGGCCCTTCGAGAGCGGGGTGATCAGTCTGCAGGGCCGGCAGGGGGCCCTGAGCGGGCGGAGGTCCAGTCTGGGTGAGTGGCTCAAGGAATCATTTTTATTTTATTTCAATTTATCCTAAAATCCAGTCAATTTTTTTCCAGTTGATATTTTCCGGATGTTTTTATTATTATTATTATTTGCTGGTAAAGGTGAGTTTGGTCACGTGTGAACTCTCCATTCACCTTCATCCTCAGCAGCTTCTGATGCGCCTTTATTTATTCCAGGAGGTGATTCAATCAGAGCGCCTCCACCAAACGATGCCTCATTAGATTCAGACAATCCACATTCTGCTGAAAACAATCAATTAAAGTGTTAATTTAATCCCAGAACCTCAGGGTGAGCTGGAATACACACACAGTTCTCACCTGGATCCGCCCACCGCAGGTAGGAGCGTCTGATTGGCACCTCAGGTTGATCAAAGAGCGACTTTTATTCCGGGGATGTTTAAAGGATTAATCTGACTTAATCTATTTAAAAATATCCTCAATATTTAGTTTAAACATCTTAGATTTCAAACTTCTTCCAGTTTTGGTTAAATTGATGCATGAATCTAGTTTCTCTAATTATCGCTGTTGTTCTTTTATGTTTAAACTCAGCACTACATGCTAAACAGAAGGTCGGATTTTAAAACATTTTAGGCATAAAAGAAATTATTCATCAATTAATTCACCTTAGTTTTAATTTTATTTTAAATAATTTTAAAATCATTTATAGACATATTTATCAAATGTGAAGCCAACTTCCAGCCATCTTTGGAAAAACCTGAATTAAAGCAGCTGAATAAAATAAAGGATTTAATCTTTAGAAAGGTTGAAGTTGGGATCAAAGATTCTCCAATAACTGAGGAAATGTTGAACTTTAGCAGCTCAGTGTTTGTGAGTTTATTAATGACTCACAGAATTCCCCTAAATTTCTGAACATCTAAAAGATGTTCTTTATGCATTTCCTTTATGCACCAGAGTTTAATAATAAAAGCGAATATTTCCCTTTAAATAGCCGTTGATATCTTTCTTTTTATTAGTTTTATAACACTTTCCTTGCAAAAATAAAAACAATGAACCAAAAACCTTCAGGGGCCGGAAGTCCTCCATCGGATCATTTCATGACATTTATCTCAAATATGGAAAAATAAAATGTGATTTTTGGAGGATTTATTATTTATCAAACGAATTTCTTGTCTCGGAATAATTTTAAAAGTTTTTTCTAATAATGAATGAAGAAAGCTGTTAGTTTTTCTTCTATGATAAATGATCAGCAGGACAAAGATGCGCATTTCACTGATGAAGCTGGTGGTTCTGATCTGATGATTTGACATCCGTTAATGTTTCAGGGATGACGTCATCCAATCTTCTCTTCTCTTTCTTTCTTCAGAGCTGATGGACGACATGCCCACGGAGGGCAGAGAATGCGTGAACTGCGGCTCCGTTTCCACGCCGCTGTGGCGCAGAGACGGAACCGGTCACTACCTGTGCAACGCCTGCGGCCTCTACCACAAGATGAACGGCATCAACCGGCCGCTCATCAAGCCCCAGAAACGGCTGGTAAGACGGAGCGGAGGCTGTTCTAAAGGCCAGGGGCCATCCAGGGCTCATTTAGGGGCCCATCCTTCCAGGGCCCATCCAGGGCTCATTTAGGGGCCCATCCTTCCAGGGGCCCATCCTTCCAGGGGCCATCCTTCCAGGGGCCATCCTTCCAGGGGCCATCCAGGGCTCATTTAGGGGCCCATCCTTCCAGGGCCCATCCTTCCAGGGGCCATCCTTCCAGGGGCCATCCAGGGCTCATTTAGGGGCCCATCCTTCCAGGGCCCATCCTTCCAGGGGCCATCCTTCCAGGGGCCATCCAGGGCTCATTTAGGGGCCCATCCTTCCAGGGCCCATCCAGGGCTCATTTAGGGGCCCATCCTTCCAGGGGCCATCCTTCCAGGGGCCATCCAGGGCTCATTTAGGGGCCCATCCTTCCAGGGCCCATCCAGGGCTCATTTAGGGGCCCATCCTTCCAGGGGCCATCCTTCCAGGGGCCATCCAGGGCTCATTTAGGGGCCCATCCTTCCAGGGCCCATCCAGGGCTCATTTAGGGGCCCATCCTTCCAGGGGCCATCCTTCCAGGGGCCATCCAGGGCTCATTTAGGGGCCCATCCTTCCAGGGCCCATCCAGGGCTCATTTAGGGGCCCATCCTTCCAGGGGCCATCCTTCCAGGGGCCATCCTTCCAGGGGCCATCCAGGGCTCATTTAGGGGCCCATCCTTCCAGGGCCCATCCTTCCAGGGGCCATCCTTCCAGGGGCCATCCAGGGCTCATTTAGGGGCCCATCCTTCCAGGGCCCATCCAGGGCTCATTTAGGGGCCCATCCTTCCAGGGCCCATCCAGGGCTCATTTAGGGGGCCCATCCTTCCAGGGGCCATCCTTCCAGGGGCCATCCAGGGCTCATTTAGGGGCCCATCCTTCCAGGGCCCATCCAGGGCTCATTTAGGGGCCCATCCTTCCAGGGGCCATCCTTCCAGGGGCCATCCTTCCAGGGGCCATCCAGGGCTCATTTAGGGGCCCATCCTTCCAGGGCCCATCCTTCCAGGGGCCATCCTTCCAGGGGCCATCCAGGGCTCATTTAGGGGCCCATCCTTCCAGGGCCCATCCTTCCAGGGGCCATCCTTCCAGGGGCCATCCAGGGCTCATTTAGGGGCCCATCCTTCCAGGGCCCATCCAGGGCTCATTTAGGGGCCCATCCTTCCAGGGGCCATCCTTCCAGGGGCCATCCAGGGCTCATTTAGGGGCCCATCCTTCCAGGGCCCATCCAGGGCTCATTTAGGGGCCCATCCTTCCAGGGGCCATCCTTCCAGGGGCCATCCAGGGCTCATTTAGGGGCCCATCCTTCCAGGGCCCATCCAGGGCTCATTTAGGGGCCCATCCTTCCAGGGGCCATCCTTCCAGGGGCCATCCAGGGCTCATTTAGGGGCCCATCCTTCCAGGGCCCATCCAGGGCTCATTTAGGGGCCCATCCTTCCAGGGGCCATCCTTCCAGGGCCCATCCTTCCAGGGGCCATCCAGGGCTCATATAGGGGCCCATCCTTCCAGGGCCCATCCAGGGCTCATTTAGGGGCCCATCCTTCCAGGGGCCATCCTTCCAGGGGCCATCCAGGGCTCATTTAGGGGCCCATCCTTCCAGGGCCCATCCAGGGCTCATTTAGGGGCCCATCCTTCCAGGGGCCATCCTTCCAGGGGCCATCCTTCCAGGGGGCATCCAGGGCTCATTTAGGGGCCCATCCTTCCAGGGCCCATCCAGGGCTCATTTAGGGGCCCATCCTTCCAGGGGCCATCCTTCCAGGGGCCATCCAGGGCTCATTTAGGGGCCCATCCTTCCAGGGCCCATCCAGGGCTCATTTAGGGGCCCATCCTTCCAGGGCCCATCCAGGGCTCATTTAGGGGCCCATCCTTCCAGGGCCCATCCAGGGCTCATTTAGGGGCCCATCCTTCCAGGGCCCATCCAGGGCTCATTTAGGGGCCCATCCTTCCAGGGCCCATCCAGGGTGGCCACCAGGGGCCATCTAGGAACCCATCCAGGGTGGCCCTCCAGGGGCCATTTAGGTGCCCATCCTTCCAGGGGCCATCCAGGGAGGCCTCCAGGGGCCATTTAAATCCATCAGCCTGCTGTGTGAAAATAAAAGGCAATCCTAATTTTAGTGGCTCTAAAGGTTCAGACCTTTAAAAATGAGCCTGAAGTCATTTATGGGGAATTTATTGAGAATTAAATTATTTTCCTTGAATTTTCTTGATGAAAGTCAGATCAAGGAAATGGTTTGGAAACAATGTCAGAACATTACAATCATTTATTTAATTTATTTTTCCAGCTTAATAATCTATTAGTGAATCAGTAATTAATATTTCTTTGGATTAATTAATTAACTGAGTTGATTCTTAGCCTTTTTATGTACTGAAACGAATAAATTAGTTAAATAATTGATTTCGTTCATGGATGTCAAACTCATTTTATATCTTCGGCATCATCAGCATGTCTGAAAGGGCCTGTTGCAGCTCTAGAATAAAGCATTTTCTTTATAAATTGCTCTGATGTCAGAACGTTTTCCCATTTATTTAGAGCTTTTAGCCATTCTTTTTTTTTTATTGAAAGGAACACGTCTTTATTCTCTTACATAAAATCCATTCTTTGGCTCCAGAGGGCCGGTGTTGTTCTGTAAGATGAGCAGTCAGGTCAGCATACCCAGAGTCAATACTCACTTTACAAATGAAAAACAAACTTTAAACTACCTTAACGGGCGTGTATCCCCTCAGCCACGTTCAAAAAACCAATTTAATAATTTACTATTTGGGGTTTTTTGAAGCGTATGGCTATCTGACAGTAAGTTGTTTTGTCTTTTGTACATGACTAAAGGGACACACGCCTGTTGAGGTACTTTAAAGTTTGTTCTTCTTACAAAACTAAAGGGATAAAAGCAAATCTGACGTCTTGCGCATGCGTACTGTTTTCAGTCTGGTTCTTCTGACACCTCAGTACAGTTTAAGCTGGATTTTGATAAACATGTTTAAGCTGCTAACAGCCAAACTTGGACTAGGCCGTTTAGGTTTGTTTGCTGCTGCTGGCCAAGGTTTCACTGCTGGCTTTTTTCCCAGGAACTCTCCGCTCTGCAGAGCATGCGGCTGTGAGCTGCTGCATTTCTATTTGTCCTGAAGTGACCTTGGCCTTGATAAGAGTCGCTTTTAGACACGCTTCTTTGCAGCCTCAGCGGTTTTCCTGCTGCCTGGAAATGAGTTGCCCTCTAAAACAATGCTAATGTTTTTGTGATGCATTGGAGGACGGCAGAGAAACGTGAAGCATGTCTTCCCAGCTAACAGCTCCTTGTCTCTGTCCACCACAGCAGACCCCGTCCCGCCGCGCCGGTCTGTGTTGCACCAACTGCCACACCAGCACCACCACGTTATGGAGACGCAACGCTGACGGGGAGCCCGTCTGCAACGCCTGCGGCCTTTACATGAAGCTGCACGGGGTAGGCTGCTTTAAACCGGCCCCCGCAGGGCATGGAGGTCACCTTATCTGTTCTCAGAGGGTTTCATAACAGACTGCAGCTTCTGTTGCTCTACTCCCTCCAGGTGCCCAGACCTCTGGCCATGAAGAAAGAAAGCATTCAGACGAGGAAGCGTAAACCCAAGATACCGAAGAATAAAACATCCACAGGTGGGCTACACACTGAAAAAATTTAATATAAATAAGTGCATTTTTTTCTTAAATTGAGGAGGTAAATGAGACTAATGGAACAAGATCATTTACATTTAAAATATGAAAAAAAAAAACAGTTGCATTGTATTATTCCAAGCACATATTATTTAATTATTTTATTCCAAGACTAAAAATATAAATTCCACTGAAAAATCATTTTATTTACCTGCGCAAACTAAGGGTACACTGGAAAAAATATAACGCTGCTCAAATAAAAGATGTCCAGATATCAAATCTAAAAGATTTGACTTTACAGAATCTGAATTTAATGTAAACAATAATTCTGCATTTAACCCAACTTTAAATCTTTGCCGTTCCAAATCATTTTCTGAACATTTCAGTTGATGAACCAAACTAATACATTAAAAATGAACCAACCTAATGTAATTACTTTCAGCTAAATTAACATGAATTAATGTTTTTCTTGACACCAGTTAATTCATTTAAATATAACAAAATTATAATTTTCATATTTCATTTGACTTTATTTCAAATGAAATAGATTAATTTAAATGTATTTATTAATTGTAAACATAGCCTTAAATGCTGTAAATCCAGGTGATGTAAATTGACTATAGCTAGCCTCGGCAATAGGTAGCAGTTAGCATCCGTCGCTAACATGCTCACCAGTGATGGCCGGGTATCCAGCATTTAAACCAAACAGCTAACTAGCAGCTATAACATTGATTATAGGCAACATCTTTGCTACTTTCGTTTATTTATGGGCGAAATCCACCCAGGATGTAGAGACGACGAAAATGGCGCTCTCTCTCTCTCTCTCACCGTCTGGGACTTGGACTTGATCACATGCTCTGACTGCAGCGTGCGAAACACAATTCACATGTGACTCAAACAAAAACAATGACCTGCAGGTCATGAAGAAATATATAAACATTGAGAGAAATCAAAAACTTTGTACGTTTATTTAATTCAGGTTAAATCAAACTTGATGTCTCTAAATCCTAAAAGAATGAATCACACAATCAAATCATTAATTTCATCCGGTTTAGTGACAGTCATTAGTTTGAATGAACAGCTACATGTTACACTTTTTTTAGTGTAGATACATTTTATTTAGGACATTTTTACTAAAGAATTACACACTGGAAAAAATAGAAATCTAGATCAATCTAGTCATTTTTTCTTAAAATAAGTGCATTTTATCTTGGATTGAGGAGGTAAAAGAGACCTTTTGATAATGGAACAAGACAATTTACACTTAAAATAAGAAAACACAATTGCATTGTCTTATTTCAAGTGCATATTATCTAATTATCTTATTTTAAAGTAAAAATACTATCTCATTTACCTACTCAAATGATCAATTATCAAATACACTTAATTTAAGATATTTTTACTTATTTCTAGATATTTTTTCTAGTGCAGATTATTGAAATAATCATCAATTTAGTAATAATTAATAGTTAACTGGATTATAAAAACCTGCCTTTAGGCCACAGAGCGACTTAGAGCAGGAATTATATCAAGATTGGAAAAATATATATATAAACATTTTGCATTTTTACATTAAACACTTTTTCATCTGTCAATCTGCTCTATAATCCAGAACTCCAGAAAGTTTTACTTTCACCTGGTTTCATTTCATAAAAATCGATTAATTGACAGATTTATTGATTTGCATGGTTGGTTGCAGCCCTAGTTGGAATAAATGCTCATCCTGTTTTATTTCTAGGATCCATCACCTCGGACGCCAGCTCCCCATCCTCCCTGAAAGTCTCTGAACACGCCTCGGCCATCAAGAGCGAACCCAGCATGGCGTCCTACGCAGGGCATGCAGTCACACCTGGCGCTCAGGTAGCCCCTCCTCCACACACACCTGGTCATACAAAGTGGAATTAGTGAAGAAAACTTCTCATGGTGGACTCTGAGTCCTTCACTCTCTCTGACGTTCAGCATCCTCTTTTAGTCATGGCGGTTATGACACAACGTATGACATCACTACCTTATCAGGATTCTGAAGGGATGCTGTTGTTTCCCTCTCTGTCGGGAGGAGAAGAGTCAACATCTTATCAGGGAAGATGACTCTAAACAGCATCCTTCTGTTCATTTAGCATAGCCATAGTTCCCTGGATCGGATAACCGAAGCGCAGGAAAGCATCATCCTCAGCGCTCTGCTGCAATATTTAGTCCTCCTGCACGACTTGGAGGCGATGGAGGAGTAGCAGCAGGGCCAGTGGATTCTTAAAGTCCACATCCTGCATGAAACATGAAATTAAAGCTGCAACATGAAAGTTGTTTGATTAAAACAGCAGGAGAACTTCAGTTCCGTACCTTCTGGAAGCAGAAGGTTCATATCCACTGTGACGTTCACTACTGAGAACAATTTGAGTTAATTTCCTCATTTTCTACAGTCAGACCTCTCTGCTGCAGCCAGTGGAGCTTCTACTAATCCATAGATGAGGGAGAGTTGGCCTAGTGGCCTAGAGCTGAATGCTCTGAGAAGGTTGCAAGTACCCGGTTCAATCAGGGGCGCATTTAGGAAATTTGGGGCCCTAGGCAAAGACAGGCAGGGGGCCCTCTGAATGGAGAAGACATCACATAGAACAGCCCCATTATAGAGAAAGAGAAATGTTAATAGAATAGACATAAAAGTAAATAACCCAGTCCTTCTTTTCACTGTAGACAAGCCATGATCTGCTTATCTGTTCTCCATTTTTCATTTGGATGAAATAATAGCTGCATGAATCATGACAGCAGACAAGATAGAGGAGAGCAGGAGGCGGGGTTACCAATCTACTCGCTCTGGAGAGCAGAGTTCGCTGCTTTTAGATGTTGTCTCCAAAGTCTCCAGTAGCAGAAAAAAGTCTCTAGATTTGGCGCTAGGAGCTTTTTAGAAATCAAAGTGCTAGAGGGGTCTGAAAAGTGGCTAAATATAGCGACTAAAGCGCTAAGTTGGCAACACTGCTCTTTGCATGGTTTGTTTTCAAATGGTTTGCTGCTGTCTGTTTGGACCTTTTCTATTGCCTAATGGTAAAACCTCCACTGGATTTGATCCTCACAGCCTCCAATCTGGGTCCCTGAGCAAGACCCTTAACCCCACACTGCTCCCTGAGTGCCGCACAATGGCAGCCCGCTGCTCCCAAAGGGGAGGGGTTATAATGCAGAGAGGGAATTTTGTTGCTCTATAATTGTGACTGTGGAATGAAGGCTAGAAAAAGAATTTGTTTTTTGATGTTTTACGTTTTTATCTGAAAATATGTTTCTGAATTTTCAGAAAAAACAACATGAACACATTTTTCTTGTTTGACTAAAAACAGCCGTTGCAGCTGAGCTAGCTTTTCCAGAACAGTGTTTGAAGATCAAGCAACAGGACGAGGCGTATCAGAGAGAACATGGAGGATTTTACAAAACAGGAAGGAACTTGAAGATTGGTTTTAAACTTCGATCTAAAAGTCTAATTAAAGCGGCTTCAGGTTTTCTGTGCATGAACCTGCCTGGTTGGTGAAAAACATTCCCTGCTGCTCCAGGAGCCCATATATGGATTATTATTGGAATTATTATGGAATATGTGGATTATTTTCATTTATCTTTTACTTGAATGAGATAAAAATTATTATTTTGTGTAACAAAATATGGCAGACCAAAACTAAAATCCCCAAACCTTCAAAACTGAGCTTTTTTTTTTTTTATCAGCAGAGGCACCAAGTAACAAAGTACAAATACTTCATTACTTCAGTATAGATATTGGCTATCTAGACTTTACAGGAGTATTTATTTTTTTAGAAAACTTTTTCCTTCTAATGCTTACATTTAAAAAATTAGACCTGTTAGTTTTGTTTCATTTAAGCTCATTTTCATGATGGCCTGTTGGCCTAGTTTCATCCAGACAATTAATTCCTTGTGGTTGGACACGGTGCTGCCCCAACTTGTTGCTCACCACAAACCAAGACAAATATGTTTTTCCAGATGATGCAAAGTTAAATTTGACGCCATTAGTTATAAAACTAAGAAAATAAAGTCTAAGGAAGTTATCATCCAGAATAGTAGAAAATTTTTCCTTTAATCAAGTAGAGCAGGAAAGCTTCTGGCTTTAACATTTTATCCTGCATTACTTTTACTTTTATACTTTAAATATTTTTTTAAAATGGTACTTTTACACTTTTACTGGAGTAAAAAGCTGAAGTTGATCCTCTAACTTCTAAAAAAGTGTTTTTAATCAGTAGGATTTCTACTGGAGGAATAAATATGAATAGTTTTAAAGCCTCTGTTCAGCTAAGATAATAAAGGATCCAAAGAATCCCGACTTCAGAAAAAATTCAGACTGATTTCTTCTTATCTGCACGATTAACAAGTTTTAGGGTTGATTTAATTCATAGTTAAATCATAGTTTTGTTTAACCCTTCTGCTTAAACTATAATCTCATCCTTTTTCTTATTCCTCCTTTGGGTCATGTGACCTAACAGGAGCGAATGATCCAATAGGAAGTATCAGGTTTTTACTATTTACTCAAGAAAAATTACTTTTCAGCATTGCATATTTATTGCTATAATTTATTTAATTAAGGGATTTTTTTTCTGTTATTGAGGAGCCACAGAGACTCGGACATGAAGCTACGAGAACCAATGCAGATAAAAAAAAGATATAAAAACATAAAATAAATCAATTTGTCAGGTTTTTTGTAACTTTTATCAGGAGCTTTTCCTTTCAATTCTATTCAGTTTATTTCTATAGCTCCAATTCACATCATGTCATCTCAGGTCACTTTCCAGTTCACCAGATCATCCAGTCAGATTGATTCAAAGTTTTCTATCTAAGGAAAACCAGCTGATTGCATCGACTCATTGACTCTTCAGCAATCCCTCACACTAAGCATGCTTGTAGCGACAGTGGAGAGGAAAAACTCCCTTTGAACAGGAAGAAACCTCCAGCAGAACCAGGCTCAGTGTGAGCGGCCATCTGCTGAGGCCCACTGGGGTTCAAGGAGACAGAAGCAGACATAGAAAAAGAAGCATAGATACAAAAGGCAACTGTCAACCAGCTCCACAGGCGGCCCCGTCCAGGAAACACACAGCCAGGCAGACGAGCTCCGAGCCAGCTCCCATGTCAGAGGATGAAGGGAGCACATCCAGTTAGTCACAGTCAGAGAAACAGGACTACACTGGAAAACAGGCTGATCTCCAACATCTAGAAACAAAGGTGTTGATGGCAGCAGCACAGCTGATATTTCTCTCCAGGATGGAGTCACAGCCAAACAGGAACAGACCAGATGAAGCTACTATGAGAAAAAGCAGAGAGAGCAGAACGTTAGAGATTGAACTAATAGATTCTGCAGAGATAGAATCAACTGAGGAGCTTTACAGTAAAATGTTTTTGATTTCTCTCTTTGCTTCCTGCAGACTGCTTCTCCGCTGGACAGCGCAGCATCTGGACATGTGGACATTAAATACGAAGATTATCCCTTCACCCCAACGTCCATGGCTGCACAGAATTCCTGGTGTGCTTTGTCTCAAGCGTGAGCATCCTGGGAGAACAGGACTACCTGACTGACTAGGTCTCACTTTACTGAAGGGACAGTCCTCTTTGCTCTGCAGCTACGTCCATGGAGCTGCAGCCCTGGGACGATTCGGTTATATGGATCACAATGGGCTGAAAGCAAAAAGAAAACAAGCAAAAGGTGACAGACAGGCTACCTACTGCCAAGTAATGATGGGATGTTATGGAACACACTGGCTGTAAATGACTCCATCAGTCTCACCAGGAATGGACTTAACGGGTCTTTCAAAGTGCCTTTTTTTTAGGAGCTGCAGCTCATAAAAAAGAGCTAAGAACTTGGACCGACGTTCGTCCACCAAGCTGCATCAGTGCATCAACTTCTACTACCTATATCATGTTTGGAGAAACATTACACTAAACAGAGCTCACCAGTAAAAATACATTCAGCTGGAATTGGAGAAGATAAGGACACAATAACCCGATTTAAAGCTTCCACATCATTTTATAGCGTTTATTTTTCTCTCTCGCTGTTTTACGTTCAGCCTATCAAAGACAATCCCAGCGTGTTGTTTCAGTGCAATCAAAAAAATTGGACAGAAAATAACTCTTTATGGCTGTTAAGCATGTCTCATTACCAACATGTAGATGATTAACATTTATAGGCACATTATTTATGTTGAGATAAGGGCAGTTAAAAGTCATTGTGGACACTAAAAGCAGCCGGTTGTAAACCGCCGCTCACTGGGCTCCTCGTAGAGAGGCTGCTCTTTTTCCCGAGCTACAGGCTGTTTTAGAAAAACACAGACTTAGAAACGACAAAATAAAACGTCCAAAAGTTCATCATTTTACTGATCTAACAGACAACAGCAATGAAAGTGCAATGAGTAATAAGAGTGTGAAATGTATTGTAATCATAATGTAATTATCTCGGTTTTTTATTATGCAAGAGAGTGTGTGGATTTTCTGTTTTATTTTTTCAAATTTGTTTAGTTTAATAAACATATATAATTTCATATAATTGATATAATCACCCGTTTGTGTGTAAATGTTTTTAGGAGTAAACATTCAAAAATCACAAAAGGATCTGCAATAAACTGATTAAACAAACCAGGAACCAATAAAACAACTGGAGAAGAAGCTTTAAAGTCCATAAATCTCATGTCTGAATAAAGAGAGTCTCTCCGAACCTAAAGCTGTTAAAGGAAAAGTCGCTCATATTCAGAATCCAAACTTCTGAAAGTTCTTTAAATCTGAAATGATTCCATCCTGTTCAATAAATGATCAGTGTTTTTAATTCAGAGTAATGTTCATGTGAATGTGCTTTACTGGAGGCATCCATGTTTGTCAAAGAACACTACTGCCACCTACTGGTTAGTGACGTCACGGTGCGGTATCGGCTGTTGATCAAGTCCCAGTGCTGTATCTGGTGTTTGTCACAACGCGCTATTATCCAAGTCATCTTGAAAACATTCTTCTTCCAAATGTTGGCTACATATTACGGGTTTTTTCTCTGGCCAGAAGTTCGATGGCAAATCCTCCCTCTTCAAGTTGGCGATCCAACGACCAACCCGTCCGTGGAGGATCAGGAATCAGAAAGGTGGAAGAACTCTTTTTTTCCACTTTTACCCGATGTATTCCAGCATCCAGCTGCCATGCACGTGGGCATTGTCAGTTTCACTATAGCTCTGGTGAATTTCAATGGTGAAGTCCTCTGGAAATCTTCAATAATTGTTGTTGATTGCAGATGTGTCTAGTAGTTCCCATTGATTTAGCTTGGAAAGCGGGGAGAATGGCGCTAGGCTTACCGCACCGTGACGTCACTGCTGGAAGATGGCAGGAGGGCTGTCATGGCGACGAAAATTATAATAAAAATGTTTTTACTGATTAACACTAAATTCATTAAATCCCCACAAACATATTAGTTTTAGGTATAAATAATGATCCATTGATTATTCCTTGATGAAGGGACTTTTCCGTTAAAAAAGTTAGATCATGCAAAATCTTTTTTTCTAAATTAAAAATTTAGAAATTGGCTGTGAGACGTTCCTGTCTTGGTTCAGCCTTCCTAAGGAAGAGCCTTATAACCAGAAGTGGCATGGTAGCGATGTTTCGGTGGCCTTAGTGCAACGTCATGACAAAGGCCAGGGTCTCTCCAACCAAAAATGTAAAATAAAAGAAGAATATTCTAGTGCTTTGGTGATTATTCAATTATAAGATTCCCTACATTTGGCTTCAGAATTATTTCACCCACCTGATTAAACCTTATGCTGGTGTTTGTGTACAGGAGTTTCTTCACATTGAGATATTTTGTAAAGAGTTCAGAACGTGGCTCCTCAGTGGTGCAGTCGGTAGCACTGCTGCCTTGCAGCAAGAAAGTTCTGGGTTCGATTCCCGCCCCGTGGTCTTTCTGGAGTTTGCATTCTCCCCGAGTTCTCTCCGGGTACTCTTCCCAGGTGGCTTCCCTCCACAGTCCATGAACATGAGAATTTCGAGACTGGAGTCCTGTGCAGGGTTGACCCCGCCTCTGACCCGTAGACAGCTAGAGATAGGCACCAGCACCCCTCACCACTCCGCTTGGTATACGCGGGATGGAAAATGGATAGCATTCAGAATGTAGGAACCAGAACTCAGGCGAGACAGACAGGGATTGCTTAAAAGTTGCTTATTGACAGCATAGAAATAGTAATAAACTGAGCTGTGGATCTGCATCTCCTTAGAGCAAGGTAGGATCCAGCCGATGGACTGCCAACGGGATGCGCCCAGAGTGAACCAATGCCCCAGTGAATAAGCAGGAATCTGAAACAGTTCGGAACAGGAAGGCTAAGAGATCAGGGGTTCTGATCAAAGCAGGGCAGGTCCTTCAACCTGACATACTTTGGACAGTTCCAGGAGTTTACAGAGAGCTCAGGCAGAACATTCAGATGGGAACAGGCAAGCTCAGTAGCTTGGAGGCAGAACAAGGAATGATAGTAGGAAAACCATTCATCTTCTTCCGCTTATCCGGGGTCGGGTCGTGGGGGTAGCAGCTTCAGTAGGGAGGCCCAGACATCCCCCTCCCCAGCCTCTTGGGCGTTCTGGCCTGCCTGCAACGACCATTGAGGATGAAGACTTTGTAGATATGATGAAACAAGCCGACAGAAGGTTCAATATGTGCAGTGGGATATATGTTAAAAAGAGAATCAGTGTGTGACGTTTTATTCTGTACTGTGTTATATAAATAAAATAGAGAAAAAGAGAAGCAGTTTGTGAATACTTTTTATTCTGTACAGTGTTATATATACTTTAAAAAGAGAAGCAGTGTGTGGAGAAGTTCTATTATTTACAATGTTGACTAAAATTACAAAAATTACTATATTGACAAAAATGACTAAAGTTTGACTAAGACTAAAATTGATTTTCGTCATTTAGACTAAGACTAAGACTAAACTGGGAAGGCAAAGACTAAATATGACTAACACTAAAATTTATTTTGTCATTGTGACTAAGACTAAATTTAAAAAAGCTGACGAAAGTATCACTAGCTGGGACTGAGCCATATATATATAAAGCAGCAGGAGCAGGTGGATAAGATGAGTGATAATTGGTAACCAGGCAGAGTTAGACAGGTGAGTGAAAAGAACAATCAGGCCAGCTCCTAGAGGCTTGATCATGACATGTTTACATGGATTTCCATGAACACGGTTTCCTGTATCCTTTCATTTCTATTGACAACAGCAGTAAAAAAAATCTACTTTTTGGATCAAACACTCTAAAGGGTTGTTCACACTGAACACCAGCAAGATCTTCACCGAGTTTGTCTGCTTTTGCTCGCTGCTTCGTGCCTCTGCCTTCGCCGGCAAAGGCAGTGGCACAGAAACAGAAGGAGGTGGTTTGATGAATCCAGTTTAGTTATTAGTATTTCAGGTGGATGGCTGGGACAGTGTGTGTGGAAAGTTGGTGGAGGCGGTTCTGGGGCCGGTTTATATTGGTGAATTGGTCTAAAAATGTCAATATGTCAAATCAGATGCCTGTGAGATGGCCAGAAGATTAAGCCCTATGAGTTATTTCATCTTTGGTTTTATCAAAGTTTTGATTGTTTGTTTGTAGCATAGAACCCTGGAAAAAGTACCGCTGCTGGTTCTCGGGCTCAGTTTCCAGAGAACTAATATGAAATGCTTTTATTTCCTACTTTCAAGGTAATTATGGAAAAAAAAATGTCTGATGCTAACAGAGTAAACAGTCACGTCATCTAGTTAAATGATTTTTTCCTTCAAACAGGAACTATTGCAGTTCCTGAAATGTTGGGATTTTTCAGTAGGAGCTGAACCAAATTACAGGAAATATTTCCCAGGCATTATTTTGACCAAGTATTGCACACTAAAGTCCTGCTTTTGTGCTTTAAACTCAGGGTTGAGTGCTTAATAAGTGTACTGCATTTAAAGTTTGAATGGGAACTGGTAATATAACAGTAATATCCAGAAAAACGTATACTCTGGGGTATAAAAGCTTCATAGATTCGTTTGGAGCTGGCTTAATTTTCAGTTTATTTATTAATTAGCTTTATTAGCTTACAATTCAGCCCATTTATTTAGCATTTATTTACCGTACTGGATCCTTCCATCCCTCACCCCTTAAACATGACCTGGTCTGCCGGGGAGCGCCTGTTTTTGGCTCATATATTAATAATGTGTTCTATTTTTGCATTAATAATTAATAATGTGTGCTGAGTAAGCCTTTGGTTCAGGAGTTTAAAATTTACAGCCACAGAATAGCTTAAAAACATTTCATTCACCAGGCTGCCTTATATGTTACTAAAAATGTTACAGGATCATTACACATTAGATCAGTCGCTCACAAAACTCTACTCTACAGAAAAATACTGTTTTTGTGAAAATATAGAAATATAGAAATCAGATTTGTTTTATGCGACGTTCAGACTACAAGCAGCAGAAGCAGCAAAAACATGCATGCTTCTGTATTTTTGATGCTTGTACAAGTTAAGTTCTGAAGCATCTTTGCTGCTCTAACTGCGAGATGGAAAAGTGGGTCTGATGCGCGGTGGGCGGAGCTACCCTATCCTTTCTCTGCCTGGAACAATGGCAGCTATATTAGCTGTGATCAGCGGGTAGAAAGTAGTTAGAATCTATGTTGAAGTGAGAAAGTCCTCCTGAAAACATGGTCTGTGCAGTCAGTTCATCCAGATTACCATCCTGCCTTCAAAGATTATTTCTCTGTGGGAGCCGCTCAGACCCCCACATACCGGCGCTGCGCTGTCACTGGGAATCCCCAGCAGCAGCTGCCTCAGGCCCGCTCGCCTCTCCAGGGTTTTCCCCTCCTGTTGGTGGCGGCTGGAAGTAGATGTTAGCGTTTTTCAGGTCTGTGCTACAAACTGCAGGCAGCAGGATAATAAAAGCCAACATATTCTGCCGGCAGGTTTCTACATTTGAAGTTAATTTAGGCGTTAATAAACTGTTTCAGAGGAGTGATCATAGAGCTCTGCATCAGCAGCGCTGCGTCTGACTCCCTGCCAGCTCCCAGATCAGCTTCTCTCATTGGTTGATACAGCTCGTCCAGCAGCTAAAGTTAAATTTTTACAACTTGAGCAGCTGCTGTTTGAGCAACGCATCGCGCTTCAGAAAAAAAAAAGTTGGTCCTTTTCTGAATCTGGTCCATCCCACAGATATTCGATTTCAGTGACATATGAACATTATTAGACCAATTCACCACTTTAAACCAGCTCCAGCGCCGCCTCAGCCAACTTTTCTTTTGAAGATCTGACTTCTATTTTCTTGCTAAAATTAATCTTTAAAACACTTAAGGGTTTAAGGGTATACAAACTATACACTTTTACATTTAACTCCTTACTTTTCCTGGTGGTGCAATGCCTTGCCTTGCTGTTCATAACCCTGCCCCTTCAACAGTCTCTGGGAAAGTTGAAATGTCCAATGCCGAAAGGCATTAAAGCCCCAGAATAGTTAAACTCTCAAAGATAATTTGCATCAAATGCATCCTGGGATTTCCTCATGTAATGGGA